TTTTAAAAAAACATTATTTAAAATGCAGAATATTTTTACACAAAGTAAGGTTCCTTAAAGCACAAATGGGTTTGTGTCAGAACTGTAACTTACAGTGAAGGAGATCAGTTTATGAAGCCAGCTCTTACTTGGCTTGTTGAAAATTAAGACACATTTCACAATTTCACTGTTAGCTCATTACTGATAGAACTGGTATTGGAAAGCATTCCCTGGATAACCCAAAGTAATGAATTTCTTTTTGCTGTGTAGTACATGAAGAAGCTTCACATGCAGGAAAGGGCCGTGGAAGAGGTGAAACTTGCTATTAAACCCTTTTACCAGAAGAGGGAGATTACAAAGGAGGAGTACAAGAATATTCTTCGAAAAGCAGTGCAAAAGGTAAGATGACTGAGTTGAGTTGGAGGAGCTGTGCAGACAGCTAAATAAGTGGCAGCACTTCGAACTGCACTTGTAAACTTCACTGAAGATATGCTGTAGCTGATCTTCAGACACTGCAGACTTTCAGTGAGGCAGGAGCCTTAAGTAGGGCTAAGCATGCCATTTATGAGAGCTGCTGGACTGTTCCGTTTATAAGATCCTGTATTCAGTGGCTTAAAACATCGCTAAGCTTAAGCTGCCTTTCCTGAAGCATCATGTGCAGTGTGTTTTGGGAATGGTTAAATTTTATGTTACCAACTCTGGCGAAAAGGCTCAGGCTTTTTCTGATTAAAAGTTAGGAAAGACTTTTTGTGTTAATCTGGTAACACTTTCTATAATGTCCATGTGCCTTGCATCTTAGGCTACATTGATTTTGGTCTCAAATCTTAGTACTAACCAGCTTGTGGTTTAAAAAACACCTGATGAGCAGGTGTGCACATGTGGTGTTGTGAGAATCAGTAATGGTTGTGTGGTTCAGGCAGTTTAATTATGCCTAAGAACTGTATCACAGAGAGGTAAAATCTGCCTTTTACTTTATTGCACTTGAACCAATTCAGGCAGTTAAATTATGCCTAAGAACTCTATCACAGAGAGGTAAAATCTGGCTTGCCTTTTACTTTATTGCACTTGAACCAAGATCTCAGATGTACGTAATGCAAACAAATGTGGAGGCTAGAGCCAGTGTTGGCACAAGGGTACTGTAAAACACTCAAGGCAAGTGACAGATGTCTTATGTGGTTCTGTGATTATCTGTGTTTTCTGCTTTGTTTATCCTGCTATATTATTTTATTGCTGTTGTAGGAATCAGTCTTGCTAGGCAGCTTAGGGCATTCTGACTACTGTCTGTTGTCTGCTTGAACTGTTACAGTTAACTGGCTGAATGCCTTTTCTAATCCCTTGTAGATCTGCCACAGCAAAAGTGGAGAAATCAACCCCATGAAGGTAGCCAATCTGGTAAAAGCTTATGTGGAAAAATACAAACATATGAGGAAGCATAAGAAGTCTGATGGTGAAGATGCTCGTGAAGTGGAAAACTGAGAATGAGCCAGAGCCAGCGTAGCTTGTCCTGAACTTACTCTGAGAACTATTCCAGAGGAAATAATAGATCTGCAGTTGCATCTCATCGAAAACAAAGTGCAGAGAAGCAAGATGCTAATAGGATTTTTCTGCTGAATCTACTTTTGAATTGTTTCCATATGGGAATGAACTTGAGGTTTTCTTGGATTACCTGCAGATGTAGAACTAAATAATTATCAAATGCCTCAGACCAGCAGAATAATTCCAGGGGAAACACCGAAGAGATTAACGTTTGGGACTCCCGAATTGCTACAGTTTTCAGGGTTATTTTAATCACAGTTTTGGGCTGTGCACATGTCTCGCTAAAAGTTTGAAACTGGACACCACTTTTCATATACAGTATATCAAGAGCTGTATACAGTTTTCCCTTGTGTTTATTTATCAAATATGGATTGTCTTTAGAAACTCCTGATTTGATACTTGAAATGTGGTATTTTTAGCCCGCTTGATGGTGAGCGAAGCTTTACTCGCTCTGTCATTTGGGGATTGCAAAAGTGAGTTAACCTTTATAAATTGACTTCAGAAACACTGCTCAAGCTGTGGTGTTTATTTACATTTTGTTGGAAGTATCTTGTTAGTGAAGACTTTAATTTTGGGGGTGGGAGATTATGTTGCACTTCTGTAAATAATGCACTGATGGCTGGTTTTTGTGTCTGCCTTTCAGGAAAAAAAAAAGGAACAAAAAGCAAACTTTGTGAATTTTCATTACAAGCTTGAGGGATAAGGTGAACTGATGTACAAAGTAGAAATGTGACAGAATTTATAAAGTTATTTTGAATGGTTTTAGTCTTACAGCAGGTGTCATTTGTTTGTCTTGCAGCTGCCTCTTTCCTTGGCCTTCCTCTCTATGCCTACGCACTCGGCTCTTACAGGAGGAATACTGTGTTTCTAGAGGAGGACTGGAGTTGGATGAATCCTCTGTGGGAGGACTGGTTTACATCTGAAGCAGTAAAGGAGACTAGCACATGTAATGACTTCATCTAGCTTTCTTTGAAAGCACTTCTTGCTCATGAGCGCTGCAGAGCGACCCGTCTTTATTTTAAATGGACATCTGAAAAATAGTGACTGACAAATGCAGTCAGCCAGCAGCAAGAGCTCTCATTCCCAATATTCCTAATTTTAGGAAGAGGGAAGGCATTCAACAGGGAGGCTGAATAGAGAAACAATAGGTTACAACTTAGAAATTGCCTTTCCCTTCAATGAAGAATATATGGGGCCTCTTGGTAGCAAAGCTTGAGAAGAGAGTGCTTCCCAGCCTCTTGGTGTGTTTGGAAGCTGCCCTCCTTGGGGATAGTCGTGTTTGCTCCTCTGCAGAGAGTCGACAATTGGGGTCTTCTTTTCCTTATGAGCCTAGGAATGGTTCACAAGTGATCAAGTGTTCGCTTGCTGGCAATCATAGCTCTTCAGGTCTCTCTGATGGATGCCATGGGCTGCCCTGCCTGCCCACAGTAGCTTTGACTGTGGCTTCCACTAGCTGGTCTGAGGACTTGAGCTAAATAAGCCTCTGCACCGGTACTGAATGCACTGGCAAAGTGCTTCTCACTCTATAGAGAGAGAGGCATTTTAGAAGTGGCCTCAGGTGTTTTTCACACAGAGATGAAATGGCTTGGCGTATGGTGGATTGGTAACTTTGGCTTTCTTTGGAAATTTTAGTAGAAAACCTCTTGCAGGATGCACTGTCATCTGCAAAGCTGCAGGAGAGTATCTGAACAAGAAGGGAGCTTCAAACTAAAACTTGCAGCTAGAGCATAAACCTGGCAGGTGGGTGTGGGATTGAGAACATAACATAAAAACCAATTAGTTTTTGTGACATCGTAAAGTTGAGAGACCTTTATGTCAGCATTGACACAAGATTAAGCAAGCATAGTCTAGTTGTGAGTACACTGAGCCTGAAAGTGAGAAGCCATCAGCTTAGCCGAGGAAATAGCCTGCCAAGTAGCCTGCCACCCGAAACGGGAGAGGAGCAGGTCTGGACACAGAGCTTCGCTAGGTAACCAGGAACACACTTCAGTCTTTTTGCTGCTCTGAGCAAAATTATTGTTCGATATTAGCCTTGATTCATCCATAAGGGTGACAGCCTGTTGCACAATAAACTCCAAGTGCGTGCTGTGAGAACTGCTGGATTTCGGTCACCGCTGTGTCTGACAGCGCCCAGAGGAGAGCGGAAGCAGAAAAACGGCACATTGTGCAAGGGCTTTCCCCGACATGGCGTGAGCAAGAGAGCTGGTTCATTATTTCCTCCTGCCTTTTGTTGGAAATAAATTCATCACTGAGGAAGCCAAGCCCTGTAACATTTCCAAAAATGCTGCCTTCATCTTCCATGAAACAGGTTTTCTAGTAGACTACATAGTCTACTTGAGTGGGTTTCAGTTTGTTTGTTTGTTTGTTTGTTATTGTTGCTGTTTTTTGTCACTGCATTGTTTTATTCCCCTCTGAGTGCCTGCTTGGATCAGGTGCTGCTGCCTGTTTAAGGAAAGATTTTATTTATTTGGCTCAAGCAGGACTTTAGTAGTGTGTCTTCCTCTTAGTGTCCTTTCCCTCCTCGGCAACAGCAGGAAATGTCAGACAAAAGCCCTTTCGGCAAAGGCACATGTGGTGCTGTGAAGAGCTGACACCACAACTGCTCTACTGCTGTCCTTACCTTGTAGGTGACCTGCAGAGCTGCCTCCTGGGCATCCCTGGTGGCTCTGAAGAGAAGGTTTTACTACAGAAATAAGCTCTCTGGTTGCGGAAGGTGGCTCTAGAAAAGGAGTGTCCTGCTCTGTGCTTAGCATTTGCTAGGCTCACTGGTGCTATGGCAGGTGGAGGTGGGAAAGGGCTGCAGCCCCGGGCTGTGAAGGTGGGGATGGGCTGGCGTGGGCACTGCTCCTGTCCCGCTTCACCCCATCCGTGATCCCTGTGCCAGCTGCTGCCTGGGGTGGTTTGCATGTTCGGGGCTGTTGTATGGAGAGTCTTTGCTGTACCCGTTGGGAAACTGAGCCAAGGTTCCTGCGTCTCTGGAAATGACCCTTCCCTTTGGAGCTCTGGTGGTTTTGATGGCTTATCACCACCCAGGCCAGGATCTTGGTTAGTTGCTGTTGTCTGCGTGAGAAATGATTCATAATCCTCGAGGTTTGCGTGTCACAGTAGGAGAGCCTTGCCTTGCCCGCAGCAGGAGTTCAGAAATGATTAGGGTACTGTGTGTCTTGACTGCTCTCCTGCTAAAAGAGTGTAGGCAAAGAAAGTGCAAATACTGGAGGGCATGAGGAGGAACAATTCCCGAGTCCTCCCAGTTGGAGGCTGCCGGAAATGAGAGCACGAGGTCCCACTGTCTCAGTACTTACGCAATGAGTTAGGCTTTGATTTCTGGCCAGAAGTGCCTAGATGGTTGGGGAGCTGCCCTGAGGATGGAGGGATGGGGAAGGAGAGGGTGGGGTTGCCAGGGCAGCCTCGGAGGCGGGGAGCCAGAGGAGGAAGTGAGAGGAGGAGGCCGGGGACCGGAGGAGCTGGTGCTGCCCTGCAGAGCCATGGCACAGCCCCGAGCCTGTGAGTAGCTGCCCCCAGCTCTTTCTGCTGCGTGTGGGACCCCTTCAGAGCCACGTGGGAGCCCTTTGGCTCCTCTTTGCTCTAGGAGAGGAAAGAGGAGTGCTTAGGACAGGGTAAAACTTCTTTGGAGCCTTGTTTCCCGATCCAGGTTACGTGGCAGTGCTGAAAGCTGATGGGTCGCTCCCGAGCATGGAGCCTTGCGCAAGGAGACACCACATTTGGTGTCACTTGGCAAGGAAGTGAAACGAGGGGCAGGAAGGAGAAGGAAGCAAGCTCAACTTTATTTCAGTTTAGCGTCCCCCTCCCCTTCCCCAACCTCTTCTCACATGTGGATCTCCCTGCTGTAAACACTCTCCCTTGGTGCTGTTCTGGCTTCACCACTCACGTGCTGTTTGCTTTTCCTGCTTTGTCCGCGTGTGGGACCCTGGTGTCCTGATACTTGCTGACCTCCTCGTGCGGGCCGTGAGGCCGGTGGCACGCACGCGGAGGGTGAGGATGTGAGAGCGGGAAGCGCCTGAACCCGGCGGCCCCGTGTCGTGTGCTGCGGCCTGGCCCGGGCGGGTGGCAGCGCGGGGGCTGGCTCAGAGCTGCTCGGAAGAGATCGGACCCGGCAGCGCTGGCT